ATAGTCCAAGCCCACCGGTATTAAATATTATCCTCTTTGGGCTTTCCCTCAAGGTTTTAAAATGCGTCTACTAGGGAGAGGTTTTTGCTATCTTATAAGAAATGTTTCGTTCTCCTCTCAATGTGGGATCTCACAACCCACCCCCCTTGGGGCCCAACGTCCTCGCTAGCACATCGCCCGGTGTCTGGCTCTGATATCATTTGTAATAGCCCAAGCCCACCGGTATTAAATATTGTCCTCTCTGGGCTTTTCCTCAAGGTTTTAAAACGCGTCTACTAGGCAGACGTTTCCACACCCTTATAAGGAATGCTTTGTTCTCCTCTCCAACTAATGTGAGATCTCACCGGTTGAATCTTCACCATTTCTCCAACTAATTTATACGCCTAGTTCAGTTATATCCAACCGACTTCGGAGAAGTTTTAACAGTAATATATGGGCTTTGAGGGAACATTCCGGTGTTCTTTGGGCAGTCATCATGTACCCTTTATATGTTAATTCTAACCAAAACCACAACTCGAGTCGCCTTCTGGTTTCCTTCATAATTTTACTGAACATGTTTCATCGGAGACATACTTCTCATCTATATGTCCTTTTATTCCTTGTTACAGGGCGGTTGCAAGGTACCTTCAAAATCTCTTTGATAGGGACACTGTACATGGGAGAAAGGTCCTTTACATGGATAACTTGCTCGTTAACAAAACTCGGAAGGAAGCTTCAAGAATGTTTTTCGAGACACTGGTACGTCATTTCGAACCCTTCTAGATTTATATCTTGTTAGGACCGAGGTATGATTACAAACTATGGTCTTGGTTTCTGAGTATGATTGTCGAACGATAGCTAGCTATCCAGGTTCGTGTTTGCTTGCCACTAGTTCTTTCTACCCTAGTTGTGTTTGGCTCATTGTAGTAGTAGAAAAAGCTCATAATGTAACAGCTCAAAACCACCGCTAGCAGATATTGTCCTCTTTGGGGTTTTCCTTTCGGGGTTGCCCTCAAGGTTTTTAAAACGTGTCTACTAGGGAGAGGGTTCTACACCCTTATAAAGGGTGTTTCGTTCTCCTCCCCAACCGATGTGGGATCTTACAATCCATCCCCTTTTAGGGTCCAGCGTCCTCGCTGGCACTCGTTCCACTCTCCAATTGATGTGGACCCCACCAAATCCACCCCCTTGGAGGCCCAGTGTCTTTATTGGCACACCGCCTAGTGTCTACCCCCCACCTCGAGGAACAACCTCCTCGCTGGCACATCGCCCGGTGTCTGGCTCTTATACCATTTGTAACAGTCCAAGCCCACCGCTAGTAGATATTGTCCTCTTTGGACTTTCTCTTTTGGGCTTACCCTCAAGGTTTTTAAAACGCGTCTACTAGGGAGAGAGTTCCACACCCTTATAAAGGGTATTTCGTTCTCCTCTCCAACCGATGTGGGATCTTACAATCCATCTCCCTTCAGGGTCCAGCATCCTCACTGACACTCATTCCTATCTCCAATCGATGTGGGACCCCCACCAAATCCATCCCATTTAGAGCCCAGCGTCCTTACTGGCACACCGTCTCGTGTCTACCCCCTTTGAGGAACAACCTCATCGCTGGCACATCGCCCGGTGTCTGGTTTTGATATCATTTATAATAGCTCAAGCCTACCACTAGCAGATATTGTCCTCTTTGGGCTTTCCCTTTTGGGCTTACCCTCAAGGTTTTTAAAACACGTCTACTAGGGAGAGGGTTCCACACCCTTATAAAGGGTATTTCGTTCTCCTCCCCAACCGATGTGGGATCTTACAATCCATCCCCCTTCAGGGTCCAGCGTCCTCACTGGCATTCGTTCCTTTCTCCAATCGATGTGGGATCCCCACCAAATCCACCCTGTTCAGGGCCCAGCGTCCTTACTGCCTCGTGTCTACCCCCCCCCCCCCC